TTGAATTGAATTGAAATCGCTTCAGTAGCTTTTGCGTAATCCTGCCAATAATCAAACCAACAAAAAAGCATAATCTCCTTGGCAGAGGTATTTAAAGTGACTCTGACTTTTTACATACAACTTTATGTGTTGCTTTGTTTGCTACCATGTCTCCCTCAGACGGGCTCTTTGTGAGCGGTTCCCATGCGGGCGAGTTGATCTTATGGGATGCGATCGATTGGAACATTCTGGCCTACGAGCACATCCTGTGGGAGGAGTCGCAAACCTGCGCTCAGGCTGAAATACGACTGGGGGCTCCCAAACCCAGCGAGATGTCCATTCAGCATCTAACCACCAATGGGAAGGTGAAGAAGTGGATGTAGTTTTCTGTCTTCAGAAAATGACATGATGTTTTGTTGTTGTGATACAAAAACTAAGTAGATAATATTTTGTGTATTGTAGCTCATCCTTGCAGCGGTGGGCAGTGGTCTGTATGTCTATAGCATCCGGACCAAATCAGTGGTGGCCTACAGGAAGGTTGCCCATGACTCAAATGTCTTACACACCATGCTGCTGTCGGACAGGTAACACATCGTACATTCTTCTCATCGTTTCCTGTCCCTGCCTTCAAAGTATTTTATTTTAATAAATATTTGCTGTGTGATTTGTGACCCTTTTTATACCATAAAACTCCTTCCTGTAACCTCTTTCCGTGGCCAGTTCAGCCAAAGACAGATGTTCTTCCTTTTTATTAGAATATTAAATGCCTCAGACTTATCTAGACTGAAGAGTGAAACAAACATGCACTCTGGTTTTCATGCACATCAGTGTGCCACCGCCCTTGTTGTTTCGAAGATGCTTTAAGGAAGCTTCATGTCAAAGCTTCTTGTAAAATGCAAAGGTCCTTTAATAGTTTGAAAATAACTTCTCTGAAAAATCACTCTATCAAATAAACGCTCAGTAAGTTTACTATGTTTTATGGTTTATTTATATTTGATCATGTTTATTTGAGTTTATGTCATCTAGGCCTCTAATGCACCTGTCAGAATATGTGTTGCTTAAAAATGAAAGTCAACAGATGCAGCTGACCAAAGATACATTTTTTCCAGATTTTTCCTGTAATCAATTAATTTTTTTAATGAAAAAAAGAAAATAAATAACACAATAAGAATATATTGATTGGTATATATTAGTGTCTTTCATCAGATGATGTCCAGATTGTTTGAACTGACAAAACACTAGACAGCAGCAACTGACAAAATGATCACATTGGAAATTGGTTCATAGGTCAACAAGATAACCTTTCATGAGATGTAGTGATTTAGATTTACAGTCAGAAACAAGAGTCCTCTGGTTCTGCCACCGCTGCCGTCACGTGTTTTCTTTAGTTCCCTTTACATGGAGCAATGAAACTAATAATGAAATTCACCGTCAACAAAAAACACAAACGCTGCTCGTCATGATTGCCTTTATTTTGTATCTGCCTCTGTCTCAGATGACAGTCTTAACCTGGAACACAGGAACCTCTAGTCTCTCTGTAAATTAAATGTTGTGTTGAAAACGTCTTTGATTTCAGAGTAATTTCTCAGCTTTGGTTTATGACAGATATCCTCAACAATACAAACATACATAATGATGCCTGCAGAAGTGGCAGCCTGAGTACAACACAGTGCATGTCTGTGTCCTAACAGAAAGAATAACCAGAAATAGAACAGCTTGTGATTCACATTCAAGCTCTGACTCTATCTCTGTTTTAGCGAGTTGATGTCCTGCTCTGAAGACGGCAGCGTGAGGATGTGGGAGATCCAGGACCTACCTCTGCCTGGGGAACCTGCCTCTCCAGGTGACACACACACACACACACACACACACACACACACGTATACACACATTTTCAGACATGAACTCTGGAGAATGTCCACACAATTGGGTCTAGACTTTCTCTGGATTCAGGTGAGGGGTGGAGCAGCAGGCAGAGACAGAGATCACATTTTTGTTAACCATACATTGACACCTGTGTCGGCCCTTATCCACAAAAACTCTGGACATCTTTGTCTGTGTCTTCTACATGTCTCGCTCCTCTTTTCCATCCTGGGATATTTAAATTGTTATGTTTTTTATTTTTGTATCTTCAACATTTCATCAGCATGATGGTCCTGTGGAGCGTTCTAATATTCGGACACAACAAGAAAACACAAACAATTTCACGTCTGACCTCACACTGCTGATGCGGACATACAGACGTATCAAGTAGTAATCCATCGTCCGGTTTTATTCCTGTGGATTTGTGTTGCTAAAAACACTGGATTTCAATCCCAGTGATTGATCACATACCTAAGTATGAATCAGAAAGTTCAAAGACTGAGGAAAAATTGCCTCCACTCAACTCATATGTGTGTTTACAGTGGAGAGTTTTGATGTGTGGAGGTGCACTAATGCAGTCCAGATGTGCTGTCGTGTTTATCAAAGGAAAAGGGTTCTCTCCTGGCACTCAGAGAGGCAGTGTGTTGTACTTGAGTGCGGTGTTCTTAACTTGAGTGTTTGTCTGTGCGTACATTTCGTCTTTGATGGTCTGGCTGCTTATAGTCAGTGCAGGGCTGTGCCGATTCTGAATAGATCTTGGCTGGATCATCACCAAAGGCCCTGTTGTTTGGTTTATGTCTCTGTAGCAAACCAGAAACCAATTAAATACATCTCCTGTGGTCTTTAAAGAAAAAAGTTGGTATATTTCAATCTTGCGTGTTTCACACGAATGTGGCCATTTCAACAATTACACTTGGCAATGACGACAAAACAACACCGTTATGTGAAAGGGGCAAATCACACAAAGAACTTTCACCAACCTCCGCAATTCCTCTAAGCTCTATGCAGCTTTTTAGCACCTTGTATTTCTTTGCTTTGGTTTTCAGCCTCATTACACAGATATTTCTCCTGGAGTAGGTAGATTCCTAAAACAGAGTTAAAGGAGAGGGGATACTGGACTTCTGTTCATCAGCTGAACACAAACTCAAATCTAAATGATCATCTTTCTCTTAAATAGCTGGATGTGTAAATAACCAAATATTTTGAGATTATGAGTTTTTCATTCCATTTCCCTAAAGCATAGCATTTGCTGGTTTAAGGAAAATTCTGGCATGTTTAAACCTGCCTTATTTCTCCTTAATGTGGTCATTGTGACTCTATGGAAATTGATAAATTAGCATTTAAAACCTCTGTTGTAGAAATGTAGGGAAATGACTTGTGTAGATAGTGAATATTTGGGTTATCTGCATGAGCCTCCCACAGATTTACATATAAACCATATCAATTCAAAGCAGTCTGACTAAAATGAAGTGTTGAAAGTAGCTTTAATAGCCATGATGGCTAAAAGCACAAGTTAACATGTCTTCTACAACACATATCACCATTTGATACATTTTCAATATTAATAAAGCAGCTTTAAATTCAGAGGCTCAATCACTGGTAAAAGGTTGATGTTCTCTTCAGTAGTAACAGTAATAGTTTCATTCAATATTCTACACCTCAGGGTTCTTTGGGATGTGGACTTTTGGCCGTTCAAACAAACAGACCGGTCCTCCGACAAAGAAGATCATGGATGTCCCCAACATCAGGACTCTGGAGCTGACAGGAGACCTGATTGGACACTCCGGGGCAGTGCAGGTACGATGTCAGTCATGAAGTGCAAACATACAGTATGTCTTGCTTCAGTATGGTGTGACTGTAGCATTTAAAAACAAAAATCCTTCTGCATTCTGTTCAGATGTTTGTGAGCTTCAAGGAGAACGGTTTGGTCACGTGCTCGACGGACCACCTGCTGATTCTGTGGAAGAACGGAGAGAGGCAGATGCACCTCCGCAGCCTGGCACTTTTTCAAAAACTGGAGGAGAATGGAGGACTCTGACCTTTAACCTTTGACTCCCTGCCTTTACAAGGAGAGGTGGGACGTCGATGGTTGATGTGGGTGAAAAAGTAATTCAAGTTCAATGTGATTGTTGTTTGTATTTTCTTGTAACAGTTGTTTGCCTTTTGACTGAAAACCAGTATTTAACTTAAATTTGAAAAACTCATTAAATACCTCATCTCAGAAACAAATTATAATATTTTTACTTTCAGCCTTGTGTGTTTTAAGTGCCGTGATGCTGGGCTGTGGCCATATTGTTAGGTAAACCTGTACGATCTCTATAAATACAACAATTTCATCATAAATTCCTCCTTTATAAAACTCAGTTTTTATGAACAATGTGATAAGTTTATTACTGGAGCCATAGTTTAAGATTGTGCCACTTCTTTGCGTTTATTATATTTTCCTACACAAGTGAGACTGAGGCAGAACTACTCCATCATTAGCTATGAGCTCTGCTAAAACATAGTGGAATTGATGCCTGGTGACAATAATGAATATTTCAGTCGTCATACAAGTCAACTCGATGACATAGCAGTTGTACTGGGTTGCATTGGAGTGTACATAATAAAGTTTCCACTGAGTGAATATCATTGGCTGCTGCTTCTCGTCTTGGTGTTTGATGTTTCACATCTGTCTCTGTAGAGATTTTTCTTGCCCATCATCTTTTTGACCAAAAGCCCCATTGTGATCTGAGACCACCTGTTCTCCTGCACTTAGTTTCACTTGGAACAAGCACTGTAACAGTGGAAATGGCCAGCCTGGCTCTGTCCAGCCCTGAATATCATTTTTCGATACGTACAGCACAAACCCACCATTAAACCATTAAGGATTAAACTAAAATATATAATTAATAGTGTGCTTTACTGTGTTGGCAGGTTGTCCTTTTGTTTTTGCCTCTGGACAGAGCCTGGCACAGTTATTTATCCCTTTTTTTGTTCTTAATATCAAAAACTGCGTTGTAACCATAATATTTCCTCTATAAGAATTGTATCAGTTTCCTCATCTAATTCTTGGCATGAGTGGGGAAAAAATGTCAGATTCTTCTAAACACGCTGCTGCCATTCATGTAACAGGCTCATATTTAAAGAATGCTTTAATTGTCTCTCACAATACATTTGTGTTTGACAGGGAACATCAAAATAAAACCTCATAATCCAGAGAGAGCAAAATACATTACATTTTTCAAACAGACATGGTAGATTTGAAAGTGACTGACGGAAAGCTTGTGTCACTACTATGCATGAGGCAGTAAAATCTTTCAAACACACAGTACAGTTCTCATCGCCAGTGAGGATGATGATGCATTTTCTTCTTTGAAAAATAATTTGTATATAACATTATCACCATCTAATTATTGTTCTGTTTATGAATGATATAAAACAACACAGGATCGGCCCGTTGTCGCAGCCACGGCCATCAGTGTCGAAGATGAACGAGCGTATATATATATATATATATATAGAAATCACTGGAAGTGATGAAGGCTTATTACATAACAAGCAGTTCTACAATCTGTTCGGCCTCAGGACACTCAGAGCCAGGCTTCAAGCGACTGGCTGTAATCAGATCTCATTCACATGGTTACATTCCAGTCACTGCTCTACACAGCAAAAGGCAAGTTTGTCCGAGTCTGAAATAGTTTAAAATTGTCTTTGTGAATAGAAATCTAGCAAAAATATCTTCTTGTGGTCAGTGAGAGCAGTCATGAAACATACAAACATTCAGAGCTGGAGCCACATTTAAAGTCACTCGAAATAATAATAATAAAAAAATCTTGTTTTAGAGATGTGAGGAAGTCAACCCTGCAACATATAACAGCCTCAACACGAGTTACATACGCAAATCTCTTAGAATGCAAAGCAAAAAGTGATATAATGGCTTGAGTATTTACAAGAACAGCAGTTCCATCAGGTGCTTTACAGTGTATTGCAACATGAGCAGACCTAAACACTGAAACAAGATTAAGGCGTTGATTAAGACCTCGATCAACAATCAAATACTACATCATGGTGAACACATTGAACATGGACGTGACCGGTTCTGTCTCTTCCCCAAAAAATGAGCTGAAGTGAAAGCTGACGAAACAACTGTGAAATTCACATCTGAGCCAACTGCACCTGATTCGGTTTGTGTCGTACACGTGTAAAAGCCTCAGCTGTGCAAAAGAAATGAAAGAACGTCAGGAACATCGGGACGGAACTGTGAACACTGACTCGCCAAGTCAACTCAAAGCTTCAGCACAACGCACCCAAAGTCTTTTGTTTTTAAATATCTAAAACTTGTATGGCTTTTTCTTGTGTTGTTTTTAAGAACAGGAACTATTTCAACCAAAAACCAGCTTGTTTCTGAAAAGATGACCAAAGAATAAGGCACCTGTCAAGAGCTCTCTGTGCCTTTGGTTAATATACTGTAATGTGTGTCTTCCCGGTTTGACACTCATGATGTAAACACACACGAAGCTGCATGTCCTACTTCATTCAAATGCAACCTTGGAACAACAACTGGTAATGGAGGTCGCTCCACTGAAACAGCAGCAGTGGTATTTTATTGATATCTGCAAATCCTATTTTATCAATTTCTAAATTGGTTCAAAATGGTTCCCCATGTGGTGGAAGTGCTTTTCTCACCTTCATGTGAAGCAAGAATGCTCTGAAAAATACAGGAATTAATCAAAAGTATTAAAACATGTGTACCTGCTTCAGCTCTTAAATATTAAAGCTGATAATTGGTGTATAAATGCTCATTCCATTTATCTGTGGGGTAAAAACATACCTCCTGTGGATCTGATCCGACTTCTCATGCTCCCTCAAACGATGCACTGACATACATGTATATATATTTATGCAACTCCCCCGTTTGGCCACCAGAGGGCAGACACATCATAGAAACCTCATGAGATCTGAGGGCCTTTGTAGGAAAAATCATATGCAACAATAATTCCCCTCCCAAAGAAAAAGAGCCAAGGTGAAAGATTTCAAAACACAACAAAAAATCAGTTGAACAGAAAGCATGTGAGGGGCAGAGCTGAATGGACCCTGGCCTGAACATGGATCTGCTGCTCCTCCACACATCTGCCCAGCTGATGCAAGGTCCATTTCTGCCTCATAAATACAAGTGTGTAAAAACACTACAGATTTGTGCACCACACAACAGTCACATATTGTCACAATTCAGATTTGATTCAACTGTTTTTGGGTACAGGCGTCTACAGTGAGTGTCGCAGAGCTAGGTATGTAACATCTGATGCCTCAGACTTAAACAGCTCGGATACAGTGCAATTCAATTCCTCCATTTGTTCTGATACACACACGTCTCACTTTATTTGACGCAGATCATCACTGGCAGCGTTCACATTGCCCGCAGGACCATGATGTAAAGGAAAATGACTTTAACAGCAGATATTTGGGTGAGAAAGCTCACCGCCATGTGACTACACGAACTTTAAATCCAGACATGATAACAGAAACGGATCGTGTTTGATGCCACCTCTGATTATGGGGCTGGACATTTAGGAAGCCTGTGTGCTGGGTGATTCGCTCCTCCCGACTGGAACATCGGACTAACTGTCTCTGGGTCTTTCACTTCCCACAAGTTGTAGGACCCAGGGGACGTCTGACTGGTAAGAAATTGGCCCCTGACACGAGTCAAACTGTGTCTCATACTGCAGGCCACGCCACAGCTTTGTTAAAGTTGATCAATCCAGCTGAGCACCTTCACAGGTTGGCAATTTGAAAATGAACTTTTTGAGTACACGCACATTCACCAGCAGAAAAGAAGAAATCTCTTTAGGTCCTTATTTTCAGTCAGTACCTGCAGCTTTGGTGCTTTGGTCGCCATCTTATTAACTTTGATTCGTTAACAGCAATAAACAGATGCAGAACGGAAGGATTTGGTTTAAGAAACTTTCAAACTGAGGGAAAGAAAATGGTGAAAAGCCCATTAAGCAAAATGAAAAAGTCCTGATCAGCTAAAGTGCAGGTTTCTGGTGTGTTACACTGTATGGTACAGATTGTCAGGTGAGCTGTGAGGTCCACACAGTTTCATAGAGTTGCTATTAGGAGTACTACAACACGGGCCTCAAATGACAACCTGTTCTCCACTGGCAGAACGCCACCTTGGACTCCAACCACACAAGAAAAGAGGCTGTGATTTGAGATGGAAACGGCGTCTCGGCTTCACCAGGGCCAAGATGAGACGAACTGTTCCACCACAGGGCCGTGTCCGCTGTCCCACCAAGCTCAGAGTGATGGGTGCGAGAAGGCGATGAGGGATTGGTCAAGAAGGAGGGGGAGGGCGCAGGCTCTTGCACTTCATCTCATCCAAGCCCTTCCAGTACTTGTAGTTTTCTGACAGGTGCTCCATGAGACCAGGCAGGCTGGCAAAGGCTGCAAGGGGATGCACAGAAAAGACGAAGCGGGTTGAAGAGAGTGCAAAAAAACAACAGACACAAACAATAATGCTTCGGTTGATTTTAGGTGATTAAGAGGTTTACGGTCAGTTTTTCACTTTCACTTTTGGATGTAGTAATCCCGTCTGTCCAGTTTGCCTGTGCAGTGCAGAAATATGATCTAAAGTTCAGTGAAAGTTAAAGAGGAAGTCAACTGATTTGAAGTCTGCTCATAGGCCTTCGGTAGTATTATTATATGTGTGAAGAAGTTGCACAAAGCTGGAGCGTCTCGAGAAGCAGCTGTACGACCCTTTGCCTGAGGTGAGGTCACTGGAGTCTGCGTTGTTTGAGAAGTTTTTAAAAGTAAAACAATCGCAGTGTATAAAGTGAGTTTACTAAACCTCTACGGCCAATTCACCATCTGTTTGAGGTGGGCAGCTTAAGGCTACAGCTGCTAAGAGCTTGACAAACCAAAATCTCTGAGGAAAGTGTTGATGGTCAAGTTGCATTGTGGGCAATTTTGGCACCAGGTTTTGATAAGGAAGAAGAATACATAGAAAAAAGAGACAACAGATGTGTCTCAATTCAGGGGTTGCATTCTTTGGAGGACAGAGTCTACTCAGCTGATGACGACCACCTCCTTCATGGGGCCGCGTAGACCATGAAGGCCAAAAACCGAAATCAGACAGTTTGGTCGACATAGCATTTCCGTGATCTGCGTCACTTGCTTCCCCTCCCCTTATTGCCGTTGCCTAGCAACAGAGCTGCAGTTGTTCATGCTGAGAAAGGTTTAACACCTCTTGTTTTTATTAACATATGTATCTTTCACTGTTTGGTAAAGTGGAAGCACGGTACTCGAGCATTGGATGTCTTTGTTTCGCTTGCCGGTGCCTTTACATCTTTCCAAAATGGTTCATCACTGAGGTGCAATGAATTCTGGGAGGGATCCACCGGTTGGAGCTCTCGTTTCTCAGGGGTGGAAAGGATGCGTTTGTCAGCCACGTTTGAAGGAACCTTTGAAATTTGACGGCCTAGTCGTGCCACTCTTACGCATATGGTCTTAAAATGCAGCATCTGAAGGATGCAGCCCCTGAATTGAGACAAAGCTAAATCCCTGGTTCTGCTGCAATGCCTCAGATCTTTGTTAAAGTGACTGTTCAGGAATGATCATGAATCCATTCATGTTTAAAGAATGCAATGTTACAGTGAGTACTTGTGATACTCACTGCAGAAATTTGATTAATTATCAATTGATGCATAATTTTGTAACAGAAAGACAATAACTTGGGGACATAATATAACTGTGCAAAGATGACTGTCTCGTCTTCCATCCCCTCCACACAAATAACATTATGAAGCGGGCGCCTCAGGGCGAGTTAAATATGAATCTTCCAGGAAACCAGAGACAAACACAAACACCTACAGTGAAAGGCCTGCACTGACTCCACACACCTGCCATCAGCCGCTTCCTGTTATCATTCCACACGAGCTATTAAGCATGAAAATCTATGTTTGTGTGTGTGTGTGGTTAGTTCATGTAAACTGGCTTATGTTGTGTAGACTTTGTAATGTGGCTCCCACATAAAAGGGCTGCTTGGGTGAGAGGTCTCTCTGCCTCTCTCTCTCTCTCTCTCTCTCATACACACAGATTTTGTGTGTGTTCTCAAGAGTGTGTGTGCGTGACCCCCTCAGAATGTGTTATTAACATCCTGATCTCCTTGTTGATGGCCCACTCTGCGTCTCGGGAACCAACAGCGACTCCGCTGTGGCCTGACAGTGACCCTGGTGGATTGAAAATCGGCTGCATGTGTGTTTTTGTGTTTATATGTGAGCGGAGTTCTGCTCTCCCCAACCCACAGATCGTAAACCCCCATCCCCTTTACTATTTTCCCAACTTCCCTTCCCCTGACGCCCTCGCAGCTTCTCTCCGTCCCACTGGCATTTGGAATCTTTCCGTGACATCAGAGCAGTGTTGACAGTAAACAAGTTCCCTCTTGGGAAGACTAAACTAAAAAGGAAATTCAGTGGGAATGAGGAGCTACAAGTGTTTCCCTTGACTTGTCCTCTTCCTCCTCCTCCTCCTCCTTAACCTGTTCCTGTGATTTCCTATCCTGCTATCTGTTTTGAAAAACAAAAATGAAGTAATAACTAAAGGCCAAATCAAAGTGTCAAGTATGTGACTTTATTCTGAGTACGTAGCCTACTTGAAACTGAAGTGGAACAGGACATGGCATCTAAAAACCCTCCACATCCAGACTGCACCACAGAATATGTTGGTCTTACCATCCCAGGCGTCGAACATATCGGTGATGAAGTAGTCTATAAAGGAGATCTGAGATTTGGGCACGCTGCAGGTGTTCCTGTCAAACACTGGCATCACCACTGGCAGCCCTTGTCTCTTCTCCTCATCTGTCTGAAGGGAAACACACAGAGAGATCACAAGTGAAGACAAATGCATACTCAGAAGCAGTAAATTAGATATGAGATCAGATTTGAACTGCGTGTTACTAAGCTGTATTGATGGTGTCCACCCACCTGTGCAAAGTACTCCTCAGAGATCCGTCCTGCCCATTCAATGCAGAGCTGGAGCGGTCTGCAGGGGTTGGCCACATCTGCACATTTGATCAACATCCTCTTTATCAGCAGACGGTTCTCTGGAGAGTTCCTGATGTTCGCCTGACCCTCACAGTCACTGTTTATGCTCTGTTGGAAAGACATGAAAGACATAAGCATCTGCACACAGAAAAAAATCACACTTACACAGCATTCAATGCACGCTGTTGGCAGAGACACACAGTCCATTTAGGTAATACTTTGACTGTAATAATACTGTAATACTATTTGTTTAGAAGTGGGTCAGCTTAACATGCAAGAATGTGACTTGATGAACTAATTATTAATGACTAATCACAGATATATCTGTCTTCCTAGGAAATACTGAATCTTACATTGTGACAAACAAAGCCCACCCACACTTACACTTGTGCTGGTCTCTTCTATTGCAGCCATTGGCTTGTTGATGCTGTTGACGAACTTGCTGACATGCTCAAAGTGCCGCGTCATCTCTGTGGCCAGCACCATGTCGATGATGGCCTGCCGCAGTGTTCGGAACTGATTCCTGCCACCAGTGAAGAGCATGAAGGGGATAAAGAAGGATTTGGGTCAGTGTTAATAGTTTTACACGGATGGATGCCTGCAGCTTAGCATAGGGAAAATATTACCGCCACAACAGACTGCGACCACAGACCTGTCGATGTTCTTAAAGATGTTGCTCTTGCTGTCCCGGACGGTGAGCTGGAAGGCGAGGGCTGCGTGGTGGCTCTCGAGCACGGCGGTGTCGTTGTAGAGGATGGCCAGTTCACTGCCGGCGTTACACAGGAAGGAGTTGGTCCTGCCCGGGTGGTCCACATCGTGCACTGTGGCTGCTATCAACGCGGCCACCTCATCCAGCTGGTCCAGACTGCTCTGAATGAGACAGCAGAGCAAAGGGGGACGTCAGCTTGACTCATTGTTGGGCCTGTTCTGGACGGCAGTGCCAATAACGTAGCCTCGATGCAAAGCAAGCTAACATCAGCTTGCTCATAATCTATGTAGTGGTTATTACATCTTTGACATTTTGCAACAGCTCAATCAAATAAATGGATGCATCATCTTTTGTAACAATAGCTGTGAGGCTATATGACCTAAATCGACATGAAGGAGAATTATTTTTGTATCTCAACATGTTCTCATATAGAATATACCTTGGTATGAAACTTTGTTCAGATGTTGCTTTCTCCAATGTGCGTGTTTTTCCACTAACCTTGACTCTCTCCTTGCGTAGGAAGTAGGCAGTAGCGTGCAGCACGTCTGCGGCGTGCGTGGAGTTGTGGTAAGAGTTGGAGGAGTGGTAGCTGGCCTCAATGAGCTGCAGCCAGGAGCGAAGCATGGCCTCGGAGCAGTTCAGGAACTCGCACACTCCGAAGCTCGTGAAGATCTTCAGACCGAGGTAAGTAAGCGGCCTGCAGGGGGGTCAGACAGTGGAAAGTTGAATGGACAGCAAATCAGTGTTTTCCAAACTTTACCCAATACCTCTGTATTCTAGTCTTTGTGATACATCAAATTTTATCTTGTGTTCATTGGACACTCATCTAGTTCAATGTTTCTTTTTTACATATATATACATATATAAACAGAATGTATACAGTTGAGAACATGAGTAAAGCTGACTTTCTTTGGGTGTCATATACTTTTGCCTTGAAAAAGGGGAAACAGCTGGAAAAGCGAAGCATATAGAGGATTTACAGTGGGTTTTTCTTTCTCTCAAATCATTGCTATGTATTTTATTTTTAATAGAATACTCGATGAGTACTCACTTTTGTGGAAGGCAGAAAGATGAAATTCCAATTTAGACAATGATTTTCATGTAATCAGCTGCTTTTTGACGTAAGAAATTGTCAGTCTTCCTCCTCTTTTTTGGTTGCTTCATTTAGTTTCTCTTTTTTGTACCTTTTGTGCGTAGCTGCCTCCAGCGCCAGGATGTTGAACTCCCAGCACTCCTCATCATTCAGCATCTCAGCGATGGAGGGAGGCACGTCATTCAGAGTGACTGGTATGGCCAGCTGGCTCTGGCTCATATCTATCAGATAGACACACACACACACACACACACACACACACACACACACACACACATTATTCAAGGTGATTTGACCATAAAAGGGGGCAAACCAAGCAGAGAGATTGAGATTTAATGGATAAATACTACAGTGAGTGTACAAAACTTGTCTCTCTCTCTAATATCCATACACATGTGCAGACATACTGCTTAGGTGTCTCACGTTGTAAATCTGCTCCTTTGAGACTGTGGCAGAAAGATGGTGTGTGATTAGATTGTTTCGAAAAAAGCGACGAGAGCCGAAAACCGTCCTTAACTTGATGAAAAAGAAGACAGTTTCTTGGAAAACAGACTCTTGAGTTAGATCTTCTCTCAGTTAAGTGCTCTTGTGACTTTAATCATCATAATGGGGTTACATAATAAACTCAGATGGAAGAATTCATCAGAACATTGTGCAGCTTTCAGCATGAGATTCACTCCAGGCAGCAGACCTCAAGCTCCATGATCCCTGTGAGGATGAGGGCCACAGGCTGAAATGTCTGCACCTCTACCTGCTCTTAGCTCTAATGTGAAGAAATGTGAGTCAGGAGTGCTGCTGAAGTTCAGCCTGTTCAAAGAGCATAATAAATCCTTTTTACATCATTCTTCTCAGTACTCAGTTTGAATGACATCATCCTCACTTTCCTGTTCGTTTCATTGCACCTGCTTGCAGCTGGACCACTTGCCCCTTTTATTGGTGCATGGTACTTATATGGTATGTTAGGTAACATAGTAAATCTCTGACAAGCTCTGACTATAGCTATAAACAGCCACAATAAGTGAAAACGCATGTTGCAGTGTGCAAGGCCGAGGTTACATCCACATTATGATGCTTTCCTTTGACAACGCATCTACTCTGGAGTTTTAGAACTGCTAAAATCGAGAGGTTACGAAACACTGCCTGCCCCATTTTAAAACAAATAGGGAGCCAAGACGCTTGTGTCAAGATCAGTTTAGTTCGAAAACGGTGTTTGCATTAGTATGGATGTAGCCTAAGAGGTTATCTTATTGTATTATGTTGTTTTATAATGATATATGCTCAGTGGCATATTGTGATAAGTCTTTGGTTCTTGAAAACGTACTTTTGCTGAAAACATATTCATTTCCGGAGAGTCTTCGCAACCCGTCCTGCAGAAACAAAAACAGTTCAGTGAATTACACATATTAGCTCCATTCACAACATTCCAGCCAAAGACAGATATTTAGGAATGGGAGAATAAAGAATGTTTTTGTTGTTTTCTAAAGTAAAAATATCCAATAATGACTAAAACCAACAAATTTAGTCCATCTCTAATTTTACATTATCACTTCCCCGATCTTTCTGTGGTTCTCAGCCCCAAAGCTTTACTCCGCTTAGAAAACTCACATGTGCAAGTGTATTTTTTTATGGCTCAGTAATATCATAAAACAACTGGGCAGCGTGGTTTCTAACAAACACGACTTAAACTGGGGTAAATGGTGAATTTGTTTGAGACTATAAAACAATTATTTGTGAACAAAAAAATGATCAACAAGTGGAAAAGACACAGATAAATGAGACACATGCTTTGGATAAACAGATAATACAGTATATGTTTGTAATAATATTAATGTGATGAATAAAATATATCACCAGACTTTGAAACAGACTCAAAACAACATCATTGCTGGATGTTGCTACACTCGACTGACAGATCTAGAAAACATCTGCCTGCAGAGACTCACCTCATAAAGTTAAAGGAAATCTTGAAATAAACAAAGACTCAGATGGCACCCCAAAAATACAGAACTTTCTTAGTTCATAAATAATGCACCTTCGATGTCACGTGCATGAGGTAAGAAGGTTTTTACAAGAAGTCTGGCTCTAACCTTTCTTTATAAATAAGACTGAAAGAGCACACAGGAAGTATCAACACACACTCTTACACTCATGAGCCCCCCAACTAGGTCATTGGTGTGGGGGTCATCCTCTTTGGAGGCGAGCTGAGGGGAGTAGAGCTCGGTGGTCCTCAGGATCTCCAACACGCGATCCAGAGCCTCGGCTACTGTCACTGGACTGCTCTCCTGCGCTGCATTGATGATGTTTATTACCTGGGGAGGGGGGAATAAATAAACATGCTGTTGCAAAAGATAAGCTACATACAAACAAATGCATAAAGAGCCTTCTGTAACAGAGCGCTCCTTTCTTCGTGCATGTGTCATGGTGATGTGCATGTGATGCAGAAGACTGGGGCAAAACAGCTAAATAAAGCCTTGTCTCGAACACACAAGAGAATCACAGGACATGCAGCAGGAGGCAGAGCGAGACAGTCTGACATATTGAACACTGTATATCATAAAATCATGACCCAGCCTACAGCTGAACTCCGGTTTATTCCTGCTCACAGCGTCTGCTCCCGGAGCTCTAAACATCGTGACAGCAGGTTACGGAAGATTCCGCGAACACTGATCATAAAACACACCCGTCACCACACGCACAAAAAAAAAATCCCAACGTCAACCATGGAGAGTTGGTGTGGAATAATGAATCCAAGAAACGTCATGCTCTTTCACAGCAATGTTTCTTATTGTGTAATCAATTCTGAGAAATGTGTCTTCTCGGGACTGTACAATGTCCTGAAACCAACCATCTCACCCAGAAACAAAGCCCAGGGTTGTGTGGGGGGGTCATGTTTTTGCTTATCTGTTTACTACAATCTCCGATTAGCAGGAATTCTCAAAATATTTCCAAGTAAGAGAAGATATCCACAGTCTAGTCAGCGGTAAGAAAGTTTAAAGGTTCAGTGTGTAGAATTTTGTGATATCTAGTGTTGAAGTTGCATGTCACAGCTGAACACCCCTCACCTCACCCTCTCCTTCCAAACATGACAAAGAACCTGTGGTAGCTTCAGTTGTCATAAAAACTCAAAAGGTGTTTAGTTTGTCCAGTCTGGACTAATGTAAAAAACATGGTGGTCTCCGTAGAGAGGGTCCCCTCGATGTAAATATAAAGTATTTAAATATAAAGGGCCTTTTCTAGGGTAAAGAAAACTACAATTCATACAATTTAGATGAAACAAACTCGTTAAAAATCATGAGAATTATTCTACATTAAATTTCTGCCAATAGTTCCCTTTCACCTGAATGTCACACACTGGACCTTTAAATATAAGTTGAGGAAAAAGAGGCTGTGACACATCTCACTAACAGGAAATCATATTAGTTGTTGTGTCTGTTACAAGCCTTTTCTGAGCCAAATGTTATGTCCTATTAGCAATTGTGAGAGGTGAAGCCTCCATTATTGTCTCAGTCCAACAACATTAAGGCAGTGAGGACAGCTCTAATGGACACTGAATGGCTTTGTGGTGTTGGGGTAATGGACTCAAATGCTTCAAAGTGCCAGGAGTAGAGCAAACAGATCTCATGTCTGAATGGAGGGGCTGCAGAGAAACCCTGTGCATTTCCCTGTGAATAGAAGCTGGTAACGTGACTACATTCTTAAAAATCAACGATGAAACCTGCAGATTGCTGGTGGAGGAATGAGTGCCGAGTGATTTCTCCTTACTGGGAGAAACATTTGACTTTTAAAGTGCTGAATGCACGAACTTGCGTTAAAAAGATTCCTTATGAAAGTGTTCATTGGAAGAATAACACCTCTGCAGCAAGGTTTACTGCACAATCTGAACGGAGCCATCACTAGTGCAAATATGTGTGTGTTCAGAGAGTGTATTGATCAGAATGATCAGAAAATCAGACTCTAATCAGTTGTGATCTCCATTAATGATAAAAGTAATTATCTCTAGAAAATTGTTCCATCAATATAGTTTTTCAGATATTTTAAATTGATAAATCCAGTGTTATAAAGCTAATAATGGTTAAACAAAGCCAATTTGAGCAAAAACAGATGTGGAGATGGACAACTCAAGTCACTGCGGGTGCTGCAACTTTTTTCAATACTGAAGTAGAAAATACTTTTCTTACCTTAATAATTATAAAGCATTGCTCCATGGATAAAAAGACTAACTAAACTAAATGGTCAAATTTTGCTAATTCCTCATGTCCCCAAAAAAATATGGTCTTAAATTACACTAAAATAGAGAGAGAAAAAAAATATTGTATTATAATATTTTATGTTATATTTGCTGGAAGCTCAAAATAAAATAAATCATACATATGTAAATAGAAAAAAGGAATTATGTACAAAAAAAGCCCCAACATTATGAGTTGAAAGTGTTGAAAACAAATTATTTTATTATGATTATTTTATTCTGAGCAGCATACCTTGGTGATGGGAGCCTCAATGGTCATAGAGTGAATCCTGGCGACGGAGGAGTATCTTCGATTCTGTAAACTGGGAGCTGTAATTCAGAAAAGAATGATTTGATAATGGTAATCATGCCTCACTGATTGTTAGTCAATCCAAACTTAGAAAGGCTTGTGAATAAAAGGGACGATTCTATGGAAAATGCACAAAGAGAGAGGAAGTGTAAATATAAAACGTGTAAATAAAAGGATGTTAGGATTAGAAGAGTTAGGTTTTGATTACAGAAGCAGCACTCGGCTGAAAATAGGAGCAGCTGCGTCAAAGTGAGTTGAGGAGGGACGTTCGTGATGTCATCAGCTCACAACATCTCTTTAAAGATCTCTTCAGCTCAAGTACCTCCCATTACACAGTCTGACTCATTCTCCAATTCCTCGTCTCCTGTTCCATTCTTCATCTCTATCTTTGCGTCTCTTCCTTTGTGTTCCCGCCTTTGTCGTTTGACTTCCCACTACGTACTAATTTCATCCCCCTCATCATCTTCACGCTTTCTTTCTCTGCCTCTCCTGCTCGTCTTCCCTTATCAAACCGCACTTTGAAAGGACTCACCGTCACTGCCGCGAGAGCTGAGCGACCTGGCATCAATGGAGTCTTTCCTTCGGTCCCGGTGACGTAGAGAATGGCACTCTGTAGAGAGGTAGAGGGAAGTGATGGATATTACACGTACACTGAATGATTAGACGGATGTAGGTGGCCCTCAGTTCGCTGGTTTATTTTGAAGATATCACATTTTGCTGATATAACACGTCTAAGTGTTGCTTGGGTTTGTGCCTCTTATGTTTTATAATT